TATTTGTTGCTTGCTGATGAGTCTTAAATAATTGCTAATTAAATATTCTATGGGTACTGTGCAATGCTGAAGTACATTAGCAATAACTAGCACCTGGCCAATATATCACTGTCTTTAAAACTAAAAAAAAATTAAAAACTTCTCTTCTTATAATCCAGAAGAGGGAACAGCAGCCTTGGTGGTACTAATGCTGTTTCGACATTGCTGATAGCACTGTCCAGTCAGCTTTAACAATCCTCCTACTGTCTGAGTCAGTTTAACAAACGATTCCTAGGTCTAAGTACAGGCCACTTCCATTAATCATGAAATTAGAGGAAAATGTTAAGTATGTAATTGTCTATGGCCTTGAGTTCTTGTTCCCATGAACTTGATTTCTGAGCCTCTGTGATCTTTTATTCCTCATTCCTCACCACAGAAGCCATACTTTTGTTATTTCTAGATGTGGTGACTGCAGTGAACTCTCATTTGCATTACTTTTAAAGAAACACCCTGAAGCAAATGACTTGGATGTGACTAGTCTTCTGCTAGCCAGTGGCAGTAAGAAACATATTATTATATGTTCCTAGCAGCTGCACTGGCAGATAATTTTCAGATAAATTTATGCCCTATATCTCAGGTTCTGTATATGTAGATAATTTTCTTTCATGATACATTGTAGTTACTTAGATGTTTTCCCTGTTGTTCATAAATGCCTTATATTTAGATTTCCTCGCTGGTCTGGATGGGCATTATCAGTGACAGATGTGCAGTGTTAGAATTGCCTCTGAAAGAGCTTGCATTTATTGGGTTTCAGAGAACCGTTCAAGGGGCATATCTTCTCTTGAGACATCAACTTGAAGAAATGATAGCAAATAAAAGATATTTGAATTACAGATAATTCACAAGACCTTGGAAGGATGTGTACTGAATTATGTATCTGTCTTTCACATATTTCTTTATACATTTGTAATAAATTACATTAGGGCTAATATCTGCAGCAAGTATGGGGGGAAAATGGCTGTTTTCAGTGCGGCCTAGATGTGTCCACTGTGAAGACTTTGGCCTCCTCTGCTGCATGCCTGTGCTCCAAGGCAGATTTATGATCTTGAAAAGGGTCCTCTAAGTCCAGGGTGTTTGAAATAATGCAAGGGAAGCATTATTTAGTGTAGCCCACTAAAGCACTGTGTTTATGAGATGAAACTGAGGGTGTTTTTACATACCTAGGGTGTGAAATGAAGGCATATAGGGCTCTTTGAAAGTGCAGACAAACCCTGACAGGTTAATGTTGAAGACCTGTCCCAGTTGAAGGGATGGCACATTCTTGTCTGTACTGTTTACTGAGGAGGACGTGCTATCCCCCAAGCTATGTCTGTGCATTGCTTGAAGAGTGATAGCTGGGCCAAAATCATGCTAGGAAGTATGCTAACACTTAATCAGCATGGGTGCTTAACAGTCTTAGGCCTGAATTTTCTCCCTGGAGCTTGTCGTTCGCGGTGCTCTCCTGCGGGCTCTGCATGCCCGGGGAGGGGGAGCCGCCTGGAAACACAGAAATAAGATTCCCCCCTCCCCATTTATCGATAAAGTGGATTACAAGAAAAGACACGGTAGAGACCAAGGCGGCAAGCCTTGGTGATAGTATCCAGTGAATTACTAGTTGGAAGCTTATTTTGAGATGTAGTGAATGAAGTTACTAACTTTGCCCTTGCCAGCATGTTTGGGTCTTCACTCCAGCCTAGAGAGGGTGGGTGTTTACTGCAGAAAGTGTCCAGGAGTGTCCGTGAAGCCTGGAGTAATGGCACGGGGTTACATGTAATGGGAAATGCAACATCTTGCATATATACAGGGGCTAATGGGAAGAATTTCCACTGTAACCTGCCTTTGGTTGAGAGTAACCGGAGAAGTGACGGGATGTTGCAGTCAGGTCCTTCGTGAGAGCTTGTGGCGGTGTAATTGTGAAGAGGCAAGCAAAGAACCTTTTAACTAGGTGCTTCCCCCTGACACAAGGAAATCTTAATTCCACTTCATGGAGCCAGGGCGAGACCTGGAAGGTCTGGCCACTTGTCCTCAAGAACAAGTGAATCAGAAGTAGGAGTACGGGGAAGAGCTGCTAAGGTGATCAGGAGAACAGCGAGAGTGCTCAGCAGGCTGAAAATCACGAGGTTTGTAACCTCGGGTGCTATAACAGCCCTCAAAGTGAGAGCACTGAGGAAAGTCGTAGCAAGGTTAGGGGCAGAACCATGTTTTATAGTTTATGAAAGGATTTGTCTGGCAGCGTTGCCCGGCACTGTCAGGTTTCCTAGGAATACTGCGTTTGGCCAGTGCAGTGTGCTGTACATGTGGCTTGGCTGAAGTTCACAATAACTGTCTCTATGAGAGATAAACCCAGACCCTGCAAGAATCTGGTTTTGTGGAGATTTAGATCTGCATCTTCAGGAAAGCAGTACAATTGTGTAGAAAATTAAATACAACTGAAGTATTTTTATGAAAGCAGAGAAAATGTTAAGAGGAAATACTCCAGGGCAGATCTCTCGGAGCTGCAGGGCTGTGATTGAGCAATTCCCCCAGTTACTTAGGTGATACTTGTGTGGAAGGTGTGGTTCAGTCTGTCTGCAGTTAGCTGGAAGCTGTCTGCCTCAGCACAGAAACAACTTTTCCATTTTCATAAATGGAAAGAAGTACAGTAAATGAAAATAAATGATATTAATGGAGTAACTTCTCTCATAACAGATTATCATGAAACTCATTCTTAAAGAGTGCTTCGATCAAAAAGAAAATTAGAAAGCCCACCTGGAATTCGTTGTGATCAAGTACAGGGACCAATATGTCTTTCAGTCAAATGACACCTCCAACATCACAGGTGAGAGTTTTTCTACTTTTCTGTAAAGATTTTCAAGGTTTCACAAATAATAATATAAAAAGTTAAAATAAGTGACACTGCGCCATTTCTAGGAGACCTTGTAGGAAAAAAAAACCCCATGCTTTTAACATAATATATATATGTATATAGAAAGTGTTCTTTTCTAGTTTATATTTAGTAGCTCAGCAATTGCAGAAATATTTAATATAGCTTATTTGCATGGCTTCTCGTTACAGAGAAGTGTACGTCCTTGTCAATACCATCTGATTTTCACTAAAAATATCAAGACCTAGACTTTAACAGTCCCACAACTACCACAGGTTTGAACACAATCTAAGTGAACCTTGCTTAGAGCAGGCTTAGTTACTCTTTTTGTAGACATTACCAGGAGCATTTCTGTGCTTCCAAGGTAGCTAATATTATTAACTGTCAGAAATACTTTGATTTTTTTTTCTTGCTGGCAAGGTCACGCTGTAGTGCTGTTTGGATCAAGCTTTCAGGGCTTTGCATTTTTTATGAGATGAACAAGGGTACTATTTCAGCTGAAGTATTCTTGTAACCATGACACTCTCCAGAGTATCAACTGGTTTTAGTAAGCTCTGTCCATTGCTGTCACAGTGACATACAACAGTCACACAGGCTCTCTTTTCTCTCATTTCTGTTGTTGAGCTTGTTCTGGTGTGACTTATTTTGATGCTGTCATCTGGCATTCCATCACAAATTGCTCTACTCATCGGTGTTCTCACTATCTAGTCATCATTGTCAGATAGAGCCTCACTCTTCTAGTTCATGTGCTAACATCAAAGAAATCATTCCTGCCTCCAGAAATTGAAAGTCCACCTAAGCAAAACAAAGCATATAGGAAGAAGGTTATAATATATCTACAGTTATGATCATGTGTTCTTTATTTAGTTGGTGGAACTCCATGTTTTTTATGTGCCAGAAGAAGTGTGGAACTTCAAGCTGAATACAATTCCTGTAGCTCTTACTAGCAAATTCATCTCAGCTGGATTTATAAGGTGAGTTATGGTCTTAGCCATGTACATGGTACATCCTTCAAATTGTCCTTTAGTCATTTAGTCCAGCTGTTGGTCTATGGAGCACAGTTACATCTGTCAGAAGAGACTTGTTCTCTAATAATTTCTGGAGGATAAGTGGTGCCCATGTTTATTTGGACTGTATCAGGGTTATCTCCATTGTGGCCCTTGGTGCAGACCATTGAAACACACTTTCAGAGCAGTGCTAGTATTTCTGCAGAATAATTTATGTTGGAATATCATAGTCTTAAATTCTTTCTGTCTCCTTGAGACTGATTATCAAAATCTTGAATTCCTTTCATCAGTGGGCCACCTTCAAGACAGAGTGGCTTGATGAAGATAGCCTGTGAATTCCCAGGAACAGGGAGGGATGTGATGATCACTCAGTCTGAAGAAAGAGCTTAAGCCATGTTTCTCAAGGAGAAGCATTGCAGCCCATGCAACCACCAGCATATCTTCTCTTTTCTTCTCGCATTTCTGAAAGGTTGCGCACAACACCATGTGCTATGTGTGCTCTCAGGTAGCTGTTTAAAGGATTTAGTGAAAGAATACCCTGGGTTCCCAGTCCTAGGCCCAAACCTGACACAGAGAGTTGCAGTTTTAATCTTCTATAACTTTGCAAGTATGTTTTATACTCCTATACACAAAATCTGTGTATCTAGTGTGGTAAAGTTGTGGAAAAATAAAATAATATAAAGGTGTGTATTGAAATGGAGCTTTTACATGTACCTTGCCTGCTCCTGTGCAAAACCTATCAATTTAGCTTAAACTGCAGAGAACAGTTTTAACTAATTTAAATTTAGGCTTGTAGTATCCACTTAAGACAATATACTGTGTAGCTGAAAAGATTGACAGCAGTCAGGTATGAGCATGTAGGGCACAGTGTATTTATTCTCTCATCTTGTTTTATTGAAAGGGTGCTCAGAACCAGAGGAAGTAAGTGTATATATCTATTTTGTTTGCTGTTCTAGTCTCCAGCAGAGGTGCAAAATACACAGCTGGAGTGGTAACTTCAAATCATTTCATGTGAATGGGCATCTGTCACTGCCCTCTGTTCTCTAGTGTAAATTTATTTCACTGAAGCTCAATTCTGAGACACCAACTTAAATTAGGATTCTCATTGGTTTTGGTGGGTTTATATCTGTCTGGGTATTTGTTGCTTGCTGATGAGTCTTAAATAATTGCTAATTAAATATTCTATGGGTACTGTGCAATGCTGAAGTACATTAGCAATAACTAGCACCTGGCCAATATATCACTGTCTTTAAAACTAAAAAAAAATTAAAAACTTCTCTTCTTATAATCCAGAAGAGGGAACAGCAGCCTTGGTGGTACTAATGCTGTTTCGACATTGCTGATAGCACTGTCCAGTCAGCTTTAACAATCCTCCTACTGTCTGAGTCAGTTTAACAAACGATTCCTAGGTCTAAGTACAGGCCACTTCCATTAATCATGAAATTAGAGGAAAATGTTAAGTATGTAATTGTCTATGGCCTTGAGTTCTTGTTCCCATGAACTTGATTTCTGAGCCTCTGTGATCTTTTATTCCTCATTCCTCACCACAGAAGCCATACTTTTGTTATTTCTAGATGTGGTGACTGCAGTGAACTCTCATTTGCATTACTTTTAAAGAAACACCCTGAAGCAAATGACTTGGATGTGACTAGTCTTCTGCTAGCCAGTGGCAGTAAGAAACATATTATTATATGTTCCTAGCAGCTGCACTGGCAGATAATTTTCAGATAAATTTATGCCCTATATCTCAGGTTCTGTATATGTAGATAATTTTCTTTCATGATACATTGTAGTTACTTAGATGTTTTCCCTGTTGTTCATAAATGCCTTATATTTAGATTTCCTCGCTGGTCTGGATGGGCATTATCAGTGACAGATGTGCAGTGTTAGAATTGCCTCTGAAAGAGCTTGCATTTATTGGGTTTCAGAGAACCGTTCAAGGGGCATATCTTCTCTTGAGACATCAACTTGAAGAAATGATAGCAAATAAAAGATATTTGAATTACAGATAATTCACAAGACCTTGGAAGGATGTGTACTGAATTATGTATCTGTCTTTCACATATTTCTTTATACATTTGTAATAAATTACATTAGGGCTAATATCTGCAGCAAGTATGGGGGGAAAATGGCTGTTTTCAGTGCGGCCTAGATGTGTCCACTGTGAAGACTTTGGCCTCCTCTGCTGCATGCCTGTGCTCCAAGGCAGATTTATGATCTTGAAAAGGGTCCTCTAAGTCCAGGGTGTTTGAAATAATGCAAGGGAAGCATTATTTAGTGTAGCCCACTAAAGCACTGTGTTTATGAGATGAAACTGAGGGTGTTTTTACATACCTAGGGTGTGAAATGAAGGCATATAGGGCTCTTTGAAAGTGCAGACAAACCCTGACAGGTTAATGTTGAAGACCTGTCCCAGTTGAAGGGATGGCACATTCTTGTCTGTACTGTTTACTGAGGAGGACGTGCTATCCCCCAAGCTATGTCTGTGCATTGCTTGAAGAGTGATAGCTGGGCCAAAATCATGCTAGGAAGTATGCTAACACTTAATCAGCATGGGTGCTTAACAGTCTTAGGCCTGAATTTTCTCCCTGATTTATTTTATATGGCAGCATAGGAGCAATTAGAATTGCTTATGTTGTGCTGCAGTGCTTTTGTGTGCCTCTTGCACATTTGGTTTTATTCTCCAGAGATGCTTTTTATTGTATAGTGTTTTTTATACTGAGCCCATTACTTTAATATTTGCATGGTTCCCACTAGTACATTAAATGATGCAACTCATATTTGCATCAGCTCTCTCATCCTCAGACTGTGGTGGAAATGTTCACACTACAGTGTTTGGTTTTGATTTAAAATACATTTGCATGTACACATGCACACACCCACTGTAAATTTGTGTCGGAGAAGACAAAATCAAAGGAATGTGCCTGCTACTTAAAGTGAACAGTAATCAAGTCTCCTCTAACCCTTAGTGCTTGAAGGGGTATGTTCTACAGTCCTGGACCAGCCCCATAAAACTTTGTCACCTATAAGGAAACACATGACACTAGTGTCCAGTGGTTTTGTTACTCATTTGTAGATGAGCAAGAGCATTCGAAAGGAGGAATTTTCAAATTTCGGGGACTTCCATATTCTCCCTTTGTATGGGGTTCCTAAAATATGAATATTGCTTGTTAATATTATGACAGCCCTTGTAATACAGACTACAATAATGTGATAAATTGTTCTAACTTTACCACACCATGATTCTCTGGTCTATATGTAATTAGGTTCAGTTCTAGGACATAGTTCCCAGTCTCAGTCATTCCATCCATGCAAGCCAGCATGTATATAGCATTATCTTCCCCCTCTTACTAACTAGTCGTCATTATTTGATCTTACAGATGTATTAATGAATAACAACATTCTAGGGTGTCTCCTCACATCACATTAAGAGTGCTACGGGAGAAGCTTGGAGAGTACCTGGGTGGAGTTGCAGTTGCAGATAAATTCAAATTTTTAAAATGCATTGGAAAAAAACTAGCAGTGGTAAGTTAATTTTAAATATTTTTTTTTAGTGCTCTTCTTTATAATGCAAACCACAGATTTAATTCCTGCAGATTAGATAATATAACATAAATTAGAAATAACTTTAGGAGCACTGTTAGCATTTGTTTTTAAACATGTTGGAGCATAAGCTCTTGTCAGAGCACATATACTTGCCCAAATACTAAGGCACAGCTGGACAGGTATATTAGAAACATACTTTAAAGCATCAGAAATAATTAGTTGCAATCCAGTGAAAAGATGGTTGTTTTGATAAATCAGTGGATTAAATATGACAAATCTGGTTGCATTTTAAAAAATTCCCCCTAAGGTTTTTATTACCAGTACATGGATGGGTATATGGGAGTTGAAGAATTTGCAGTGGAAGCTGAGTAAGTCAGAATTCCTCTAATGTTCCCTGCTGTGACCTGCCCAAAAGTCTTTAAAAGATCAATCTTTGAATGAAAACTATTCTGCATGTACATTTGTGTTCCACTAATTAGTTCAGTAATACAGCCTGAGATATATGTAATCAAAAACCTATATCTCTGAATCCTAACTGTTCCTTACAGTGATTCTCTATGTATTTATATCCTATAAACCATAGCTAAAGATTAAATACATTTGAAAATCAGTCTAACTGAAAGTTTGTTCTTGTAATACACAAAGACTTAAATAATGTACATAAGTACAGAATACTTTTCTCACCTCTCATTTCTCCTGTTTCTCACAGATTTGGGAATTAATTACAAGCTGGAAATTTTATGCCATTCTTTATTTCGTTTGTAGTTGATTTTTAACTAAAATTACTCACATGGAAGACTAGAATAAATACTAAGTAATATGCAAAAGCTAGGTGGAAAAACATGAAGAGAAACTTAAAGACCGTAACACAATCTAAATTTGAAAGTGTACATACGTCTTCAAAGAACTCAGGACTTTTTAATTGGATGATAATAAGTAAGATGGTGTATTTTCTTCCCCACTGATAGTTCCAAGATAAATGGAGACATTTTCCAGCTTCCTTTAGAATGTCAGGAAATTAATAAAATATTTTACTTGAAGAGAATTAAAGGCATTGATAGATATATGTGAGGATTTTTGGTGACAAATTAAATATATAATTTTATTTGGGGTATTTACTGTTGTTTGATGTTTAACTTTATAATAAAGTGTAAAGCAATAAACCAACTAACTGGTTTATTTGTTGTTTAGGGTCATGGTAACCTCACTGAACTACATCTCTATGATCAAATATTTGTTGAGTGTTTTTTCACCCCCCTAGCATTCTGTTTCACAACAGTAGCAATGTAAGCAGTACTAAGGCCTGTACCTTACTTACAAGTAAGGGTCTTTAAATGAAAAATAAACCAAAATCATGTTCATTTGCTCTTCGTTTTCTTGCCTGTAGCCAGTATCTGTAATGGTGGATCAATGGCATTGCCTGACCATTACTTAGAAGAGAATTTAGCCCCAAGTTTAGTTCAATTTAATAATTTTATTAATGTAAAATCAGATTACTTTTTTTTTTTTTTTTTTTTTTTTTCCCTGTTGGAGCACACCTTTCAAATACACATTGATTATCTTAGGCTTTGTTTTTAGAACTACTGTTGAAATCTGAAAGATTCACTCAAAGAATGTCAAGATGATTAATAAATACAAGAAGATGTAAGAGAGTAACAGAATTTTTTTTTTCTATATACATTAAATATTTTGCAATATTGTACCAGGTGAATAGAAAAAAAAATATGCAAAACTCAGCATTTTTATTCAGATCAATCTTGAAGCAACTTTTGGTAAAGAAAGTCAATGACTTTCTTCTGCTCTGACTGTTGGATCAGGTCCTTTGAACCATAAGAGGAAGTCCAAAGGATAAAAAAAATTTTCAGTACATTCATGTACTCCTGTGGGTCTGATTGAGATTTTGAAAAATACACAGAGTTTTGGTACCATGTCAGAAAACAGAATAGTACTTTATGTTTCTTTTTCCCTATGAGGCCATTATGGAAGATAGTGCTGGTTATGAAAAAATGTAGTATGTAAAGATGATTGAATACAGAAATTAAGTGATATGCAACATTACTGATAAAAAAATATTTTATTGGTTACACTTTCATTCTTTATCTTCCAAGGTGAAAGCAAAGCAAGAAACAGAACTGGAACTGAAGTCATTTGCTCCTCCCTATGTATGTATTGAATGATTTTTAAGGTATCATTTTCAGAAACTTTTTACATTATACATTTCCTCTTTTGTCCTGATGAATATACTGCATATTTTAGGCACTTTATCCTGAATTATATTTATTACCTGGAGTGGAATACTTTGAAGATGTTTATTCATTGTCATCATCAACTCAACAAAGACATCACTTTAATGCAGAAGCTAATAGGTTTAGTAATGGGTCAAGATTATCCAGCCTTTCCCAGCAAAAACCTGAAGAAAAACAACGATTTTTAGGAAGCATACACAGCAGTCATCAGCTAGAAAATCAGGAAGTGCACGGTCCTGTGGAATGGGGTGAGAAAGGACCTATTCCAGTTTTGCACAGAAAACATAAACAAGACCATAACAACAGGATTCAAGAAAAGCAGATACAGTTTAGAGAAAAAGGTAAGTTTAACCAATGTAGTGAAGGAGGATGATGAAGGAGGAGAAGAATAAATATTCTGGTTAACACTTACATTAAAATAATATTTCTCTTTTCTAATATCAATTATTATGCAGATCAAAATGGATCAAATGGATCTCTCATCACACCAGGTCATTCAAATCCTGCAGATTGCGAGTCTGGAAAGAGTGGCACGGTATTAGTGGCCGCTCAGCAAAATCATCTCAGCCAAGGTCAAAAACACCGTAACGCTCCTAAGTGGAATGACAAAGCCGAAGGAGCTGCTCTTACTCTTCGTGGAAACCACAGTAATGAACAAGGCCAGAATAACCACACACCCCCAAATCACATTAAATATCAAAAGGGTACAACTGTTCATTGTCATCTTTTTGCTAAAGCATGCATTTTAGAAAGTTGGCAGAGTAAAGCTAAGTTTTAAGGAATCTGTAGTTTAAACATGAGTTGGAATATTGATATCAGAACAGTATTCTCATTTTTTAAATGATAATATCTTTCAAAGATTAAAGAATAAATCCTTCTTTATCCCTGTGTACTGATACAGGGAAACACTTTACTTGATCCATTTGTCTCATCTTATTTATATGAAAAAAACCCAGCTACTGTAAAGATTAGAGGATAATGATCCCATAATTCAACAGCAATTTTAAAAGGAAAAGAATCTTGTTATCAATATATCAGGGAAAGCATTTATTCACTTCAACTTTCATTGTCATCTTTCCCATGGCTACATTACTACTGAAGAGGAAGCATTTCCTCCACTCTCTCCCATGTAATGTTTATTTATATGCCATTGAACAGTGTCATTCCTAAAACTGAGAGGTGAGAGAACTCTTTGAGCAGACTACCGTGAAAATAAATAGTATGAAAGCACACATTAACTAGGTAACAATTCTGTGCCAAAATAGAAAATATTCTTTGGAAGAGATCTGTTAACTACTGCTTCCTTTAAATTGGGGTTTCTTAGGGATACTGAGGGCCATTGAGTTCCTGAACAGTTAGATAATGTACTTAATATTTCTAAATTTGTAGTGATTACCAAGAAATAAAATGACTGACACATTAAATTGGATTTGAAAGACTACTGCTAAATTAGTATCAAAATTAGAAATTGTTTTTGAGGAAATAACTTTGGAAGACAAGTCTTAATATTTGAGTAGAATTTTACACTTAACATAAAAAAGGGGATCTTTATTCTATTGCAAATTTTTTATGAGTAACTATTAAATGAGACAGTATTCATTTTTTCATAGGTATGGGCACCTTATAGATGTCAGTTAGAAAGATTTTGTGGATATCCAGCACTTTGAGTAAGACAACAAAAATTGGGATATTGTATTCTTTGAGATGTGTCTGGAGAGTGTATTAGAAAAGACTTTCATTGATGACTTTTCAGTAATTTCAGTTTCCAGTCATAATCTGCCAAAAATAGTTTTGTCCCTCCATCATCATGTTAACTGATATTAAATATGAGATCACTAAATATACAAATGTATATATAACTGAAAAGTTGTCCATAATTTTATTTTGAATTATGAAGGATGTAAGATTTTGTAGTAGTAAAGATGAAGTCTGTCAGCAGTTTTCTTTTGAAATATTTATTGTGTATATTTTAAAACAGATAACATTTATTCATTAACATTTAAACGCAAAACGTTTTGCTCTCCCTTTCTTTTCTGGCTCCAGTTTGTAAGGGATCTTCAGTCTCTGAAAGGCAGTGTTAGATACAGAATTAGTTTAGGGAAGGTGAAATAATTAAGTGGTTTCCTTATCTGTGATAATGTTTCTTATACTATTTACCAGAATTAGTTAGATACAAATTCTCTAAACAAAAATACTTTTATTTATTTATTTATTTATTTATTTATTTATTTTGTTGTTCACACATTTCTAAACCCCAGAGATAACATTATTTATTGGATTGATTCACTGAATTTTTAATACAGGTTGGAAAGTCCAGGCATTGACAGTCAAAACAGCTTGAATTTTGAGTGTAATCTGTGTATTTTGATCATCACTATCCTGTCATAGAACTAACAAACATGGAAAATAATGATGACCAAGAAAATACCAAGCTAAGAAGAGACATAACAGAGGATGCTGGAATTCTTAAAGTAAGGCAAGACCAAACTACAGAATATGTATGCAAAAACCAAAGGTTAGTAAATAATGGTTCTGCTAAAATAATGGATAATATTAATTCATAGCTAGAAACTTATTTTACAGACTTAAGATGAATGAAAGAAAATGGGGAAAAAGCCATTTCATTACATGAATTTTCACTTGCTTCTTTGATTTTATCTTTAGCTTGCAGCAATACAGAACTACCAAGCCTATAGCTGATTCTGGTGAAAAACTGGATAATCAGGTGTGTTTTTTCATGGTAACATATTCTTAGCAATCTTGAGAAATAAATATAAATCCTCCACCTAGAAGTAGTCTAATTTTGTAAGACAGGTAACTCATTAGAAATATGAAATACTCAAATATAGATTTGAGAGTAATTGAGAAAGTGAATTCTTGTACTACTACTTAACAGAATTGTTAATGAAAAATCAACTATATTTCTATACAATGCAATCATTGGAAGTTATACCTCTGGTTATAATTTAACGGGAACTACATATACAATAACTATCTCAGTCTTATTAATGTTAGCTGAATTTTTTTTTATACTTTCTTGACAGTAGTATTTTATTGTTTTTATCAGTGTCATTGTTATAATTTCATCTTTCCTTTGGGATAAATTTGTCTTCTCTCAAGCCAAGCAAAATTGAATGTAAAAACTGTAAAATCCTTTAAAACATAGATATGATTTAATCACAGTCTCAGAATAAGAACATATTTAGGAAGACTCAGCACCCACATGCAATCATACAGCATAATAGCTTTCACTATTAACTGTTGCTTGTGCAGAAGTGATTGTAGTGGAGTCTTATGAAAATAATAATAAAATTGAAAATCTGCTATTATACATTTTAGTTTAGAAATTGGCAGTCGAGACTTTGTGAGCAATGAGCCAGATGGCAGTTTTAAGCCTCGTTATTCCTGGTCTTGCATGGGAGTGTCAGTAACTTGGGGAGTTGTGGACGTGGACAAGAACAATTTGCAATAGTTCTATGTTTTTGTGTGCATGTTCTGTGCATGGTAGTGTTTAGTGTTCTGATTTTACTTGCAGAGGCCCATCTGTCTGTAATTTAGTGATCATTTGTACTGGTAACAGAATTGAAAATCAGCCCTCCCATTCACTCAGGCCACTTTCAGGGTTTATGTATAATATAACTATTCAGGATTATGAGTTATAACTATTCAGGATTATCAGTTATGCACTTATAGTTGTGTCTTTTTACTCTATAGGCAGATGAAAACAAGCAAAATCATCTTACTTTGTTGAAAGAATGTATTTCACCTCCTAGTCCACCTTTTCGGGCACTTGCTGTAAATCCAGCTCAAGTTTCTACAATTCAGGCAGCAAGTGAGTATATGATTCCAAGAAATGGCAGGGAAATGAACGTTTAGTCAAGATTGAATAGTTAATGAAAACAGAAATACCTACTTTATGAAAGAAATTCTACATACATCCATTAACAGTATTGTTACACATTTCAATTTGTGGTCGGAAAATTCCAGGCATTTATAATTGCAGGGGCTGTTCATAGAGCATGGCAGGTTCCCAGTGCTAGACATCTCAGCTTGTGGACTTCAGGATAGAAGGAGAAAAGGAGGGAGATTGGGTGAAATACTGTGAGAATGTAGCAAAGAAAACCACTAATAGTATTGCTGAGCATCCTCTGCTGTGGTGGAGGAGGAGGATAGTGAGATCAGTGATTGGCCTATTGTTGCAGATTAGTGAAACTCTGAGATAGTATTCTGCCTATGACCAGCAGGAATTTAAGGCAAGATTTTGCTAAGGTTTATGTTACAAAGTATTTTGAGCAGGAAATAGTCTTCTGGAGATTTTTTTAGCTTCATGTAGCAAGAGTTTTCAATGTATGCAGTGTATCTTTAATATATACTTTAGTGATACATTATCTATGTATATAAAAGGGTGTTTACTTGTCTCAGTGTCTGTGTGAATGCCTGGATGCATGCTGGCGTTCTCACGTTTTTTTAATGCACCAGCAATTTCAAAAACTTAGAGATTATTAAAATAAAACAATTTCTACTGTGTGTTCTGACAGAGCTTTTGGCATGATTTATGATGGGTACATTGCAAAAATCTTGATTGATCCCTCCTACTTACAGTATCCAGATGCTTGCTAAATATAATTATAATATCTTTAGAAAACAAGTTGGTAGAACAATTGCAACAAATGAAGAAAGACAGAAGGCACATGGAAAAAACTAGAGAAGAACTGATCAGAAAAGCTAAAGGGCTACTGGAACAAAATAAACTGAGGAGATACCACGGTACACTTTTAATTTAATTTGAAATGACTGAGAAATGACACTGAAAACAATGTGAAAATGTTTGTCTCCCTGTCAGTGAGCTTAATTACAGAGAGAGCAGTTTTTTAACCTGTAGCTCTGAGAAGGCTCATTTGTGTAACAGCATGCTGGAAAGATTCAAGACTGCAATGTTTCCTTCCACTTTCTGTGTCAGTCTTGTAAATCTAAAAATATCATGGCTTTTATAAACCATTCAAGTTGTATCCCACGTACATACAGTGCCCAGAGAGCTCCCGCAGGCTGCTTCACTGTTTGAGGCCCAGGGCAGCTGACATACTCTAAACATTGCCTTTAGCTAGTGCTTACACAGGTTTTTATAGTGTTGATAGGGCTTCTAGTTAAATTGCCAGTATAATACTTTCTGTTCTTCCTGTCTAATGGTATTTAGCTTATGGCATGGAAGTCACAAACCTGTCATGAGAAGCTTGACAAACTTTATTCTTTTAACAAGGTAAAATGTCATTGAAATCCCACCCAAATTTTCTTTGTGAAACTATTTTCAAGTTTATATTTAAATTATCCTCTCTAAGTCATATTCCAGTTATACAGAGATGAGATTTAATCACTTTGATGTTCTGAGAGCATTCTTTTTGTACTTAAATACAGCTAAATCTAAGAGTATCAACTATTATTTGTAGCTTTGTTAAAAGAAGATGAGACAGTTCTTCCAGTTATTCTTGAAGTGCATGGCTATGCTGCACTCTGCAGCATGGTGAAGTTGTATTTAAAAAAAAAAAAACCAACAACTTGGGTACTCAAAGCAGTGAATAGTAGCATGGAGCTGCAAGGCAAGCTAATTTACACAGCTGAGCTAAGCCCTAAATGGCTCCTGCATTGTCTTAAATTATGTTGTCCAGTTAGGTAAAATAAAGCTTATTTCACAGGGATTCAAACAGCTTCTGCAGGTTCTTAAAGAAGTGTTTCCACCTCTTGAATTATTTTTATCAGACCTGTAGAGTTTCGTAAGTGCATTTGCAAACATCTTTCTTCACAAGATATGAAGGGAAGAGCATATTCTGTAGGAAAAGTGATCCAGTCTGTATCTAATATCCTCCTAAGATTGCCATGCTGACAGCCACTCTCAGTTACATACTGTAGGTTACATACTGTAAAGTCCTCCAACAGCTGGGTTCTTTCTGAAAAGTTTCTGAGAAGCAGTTGTCTTGATTTCCTAAAATACACCCTGAAAAAAAGAAATAATTTAAGACACTTTGCAGGCTAGTGGACTTATGTGTCCATACAACCGCTGCACTAGATATGGTGGGATTTATGTGCCAGTCGTTGACAGCACATTAGCAACAAAAGAGGAATTATAGTTAAGTGTAAAGGTAAATAACTGTTTCCCATAGTTATGGGACTTCTGTATAAAATGAAGCTGTTCAAAATCTCTGGCCCTGCAGATCTTAAATTTTGCATAAATCTACAGCGCTAAATATTCTGCTACAGTAAAGCTGTGGACTTCAGACTATGATGGGCATACCAGTCTTCACAGGTCTGGAGCAGTTAATGTGCAGCTGAAACCTGCTGAACAGCCAGGCAGAATGAAATTTGGGTTTGGACCTTGTGTTACATCTATGTGGACAGAGAGAGCCTTTTGTTGCAGGGCATTGTGTGAAAATTCAGTTGCATTTATAGTGAATGTAGTTTTTGTTGTGGTTTAACCTACTGCCATGTTTTAATGTGTGCATTGTCCAGCTGAGTCTTGTGCGATCAGCTGGTCATTACCATCTTCAACAGACCTTATGATAAGGTGAACAAGTCCTAACAGTATTACTGTTTTCCTGTGTAGTTCGTGAGGAATGGAAAAAGAAGTACTTTGAAACTAAGAAAGCTACTGTTTCACTGGAGGATGCTTTAAACAAACTGCAACAAGATTTAGAGCTTTACCACCAGAAATTACTCTTGCAATTGGAAGCCAGAGGCAGCCGAAAACAACCAAACAATATGAAAAACTCCAAGGTTTGTGTTACTTAATCTCTCTTTTTATACAGCCTGCACTTCTTTGTATAAAATATAAATTAAAATAACAAATTCATCACCAACCAATGATTTGTAAACTAGTTTAAACTGCCAAATATCCCTCAGTGATCTGAGGTGTAGAATTCCTTCAGCCCATTCTGCTCAAAAAGACTGAAGAAGTGCTTGAGTCTGAGCATCTGATTCTTTCTGCTTTGTGTTTGTGCAATACCTTCTCATAACAAAATCCCCTTTTGTTCAGTGTGATCAATGAATTGTTCACTTCTATATTGTTCTCATATTCCCAGATTTTGTGTACAGAGGTAATGAATTCTAGTCTGGGGGACAAGAAATGCATCTGAGGCTTTTGGAGTGGTTGCACCTTAACTATTGTGCAGCTGTGAGTCTTGTGTTATGTTGTTGGTGTCAAATCATGGGAAGTTCAGAGAGGAATTAAAAAAAGAGGGGGACACCTTTCCTAATAGTTTTATCTGCTGATTTTCTAAATGCATTAATGGAAGCAAGTCTGCTGGCAAATGTGAAGCTAGGCTAGGAAAAATAAACGTCCCTTTCTTGTATCTGAAAGGTGGGAGAGTGTATATACAATCAAAGAGTGTATGTTCTATGCAAATGTGTATTATCTTAGCTATCTGAATATAAATATCTACAATATAAAAACATTGATAGGGTTGATGTTACATTATATTACTAGCTTTGTTCAGATATGTAATTGCTGCTTTTAGAGGAGGATATCAGGGTTTTTTTAGGTCTCTCTGGCTAGGTCCAAAGAGGCTTTATGTGAAGGATATGCACAACTTAACATGCATACAGCAGTCATTTACTGGCTAGCACACACAGAAGATAGCCAGGATTTAACGAGCTATTAGACTGAGCACAAGTGTGCTCTCCACCCCTTGTAGACGACGTGCAGGCCACGCAGGCATCAGTCAGGTGGGAAGAGTCGGGCTCCGGGGAATAGATCCTGCTGTAGCTGGTTTCCCCTCTTCCACCAGCTTTGTCCTCACTGGTGACTCAACTCAGCAATGTGGTGATTCCTCAGTAGCCCCCAACTAGTCTGATGGCCCTGCCTGGCTTTTTCTGGCATGACAGTGTAGCTTTCATGCTTTCTCAGTGGTCTGAGCCAGGGTTACACAGCTGTGTGGTGTTAGAGCTGGGACTTGAACCTTTGTAAGCAGGCAGCTACACGCCTAAGTGGGGAGAAGCTTACAACAGGAGGTCAGAGATGAGAGGCTACAGATACCACTTAATAACTCTTTGTATAGGCAACTTTATCGCATCATTTGTCTCAGTTGGCACTTTAATAGCATTTTTAAAGGCCTGGAACATCAAGGGATTACCATATACACCCCCACCCCTCAGCATTACTGACTTCAAGGGACAACATCTGACTTGCACAAGCTGAGTATCAGAACCTACATTTTGAAAACATAAATTTTAGTTTTACAGGTTAATTCAAAGATAGGCCCACCCACAGCTTCTGCTGAAAGATGTGCTGTATAGCCAGGAGTTTATCTGCACTAAACATCACATGAGTGTAGCAATGTCATCAATAAATGTACTGTGACAGAGTGATGCTAAGCCTATGAAAGAAAAAAATGAAGTATGCCTTTTTCTTATAAATGAGGAGTAGCCATAAAAGATAACTGCAAAGCAGTGTGTTGTTGCTCAGGAGATCTGATCTGGATCTTAACTTCCCAAAGTAGAAGAACCTCTGCACTCCGCTGAAGGGTTGGCAGCAGAAAGGAGCTGCCCTCCCTTGGGGAGCAGACTGCTTACAGACCAGAGACAGCCCAGCACACATTAAGAATGGCAAGAAAATGGGGGAGTTGGAAAGAGTTTAGAGGATTGTTCTTGAGTGGTGAAGTAAAACCCCGTGAATGAAGAGATGCACTAATGCTGTACTTAAAGTTTTGTCGTTGTTTCACATAGAATTACATAGTCATCCGGATTGCTACAGTGCAACATGAACTCGATCAACTGAGGAGGAAGCTGGATGATACAAAAATGAAACTTGTAATAGAAATTAAGGTACTCTGCCTTTTAAATAAAATAGTTGAAATGTTGCTATGTAATTAAAAACTTAGATCTTCCCAAACATTAGATGATATAAATATTTGCTAAACAGTTCATGTTTTATGGTGTTAGTTGTTGTTAAAGTTTATCACTTGAGCCAAATTACTCCAGAACACCAGGTTATTAGATGATTTTGAATGTATGGCATTCAAGCAACTTAGATTTTCAAGGTACACAGTAAGCTAAGCTTCACAATCTCTTGCATAGAATTCCCCTTTCACTCAAAAGGTAACTGAAGGAACATACTTGGTGAGGCACTGGTTCAGTAGTGGACCACAGCTAAGAAAAAAGTAATGGTATAAAGAGGAAAAAAAAAAGAGAATGTTCTCCAGGCAGATGCCTCTTTATCTGCTTTATTCTGTACCAGTGCTGCCCGTGGCTGCCTTTGGAAGGAGGGTGATCATACAGGCCTTCACACTGGATAGCTTTTCAGCTCTGAATGCTTGAAATACAAGTCCTCTACATCATGGAGATTGCCCATGCCCCTGTTTACTGGATATTCTAGGGTGGATGTACTCATTAGGCCTCCTCCACTGTATAACAAGGAGTGAAAAAAACAATGAACTTCACAGTTGTCTCTTAAAAACACCAAGGCAAAGTACAGAATAAAGTAGTGCTAAAACTAGGCTATCTAATTAGACATGTAAAATTTTAAAGATGAAGAATGTATCCTGTATTCAGCCATCCTGTATAAAATTCAGTCTTAGTTATATAAACCCATATATATGTCAACTCCAGAAATTTCCTTAAATTGCAATTCCTTAAATTACTGTTTCTTCTGCAGATGAGAAAGCAGGCAACCTCTGACTTACGAGCACTGAGAGCAGAACTGACACAGAAGAAGATTCATTCAGCTGTAATTCTCCAGTCCAGAAAATCAGGAGTTTAAGAGGATGACATGATGTTAACATCTCTAAAGTCTACAGAAGTTCTGTAATGTATACAGAAGCTCAGAATTTCAAAGCATTTGTTTGTACATTCTCAAAGTTATCTTGTAAAAAAACATTAACTATATAAACGTGGAATTTGTATACCAGGCTACTGAGGTACTGCAGCTCACTTCTTTTTAAATCTCACTCTTACTATAAGATTAGTCAGCTACTTAAACATACAGTTTAACCTAATACCATGTCTAAAACAAAGCTAACTTCTTTTAAAAGTGCAATTTAGTGAACTGTGTAACATCACATTGGTATGTTGATGTTCTTTCATTAACAAATAAACCTGTCATCTCTAACCTCCTGTTCTTATTTTCAGGTGCACACATAAAATTTTTGGATAATTATTAAAATGCATTTTCTGTAGAACTACAGCAACGGTAATCCTTCATTTAGCTATTTACTGAAATATATTTTAGTCATTATAATTATGCCTATCTATAAATCACCAATGTAGTATTACCATATTATGAAGTATGAACAAAATCTCAGATAACCTCACCTTATTTATATCTAGGTGGTTTTGTTCCCTCTTATAATAGAAAAGCCACATGGATGTTAACATTCTTCTGTAGTTAATGGAAGAAGTGAGCTTTGTCTTGGACAAGCTGCAGTGATGATCCTAGTCCTACTTAAACTATTGTACAGTCTATTTTTCTTTAAGTTCAAGCTCATGCATGTGCTTAGATAACAATTCCCTGAAAGAGTAATCAGAAACTTCTTGATAGTGGTTTTTTTTCTAGCTCTCCTGTTTGTGGTACCAGATGTTATTACATTAAGCATAACAATAACAAAAAGCTGACAATGCTGTATTTATTACTGGAAGTGAAACACATGGGAAGTCTGTACTACAATAAGAAAATTACACAACTCTCAAAAGGACTAACTTCTGAATGTCTTGACTCAAACCACCCATTATCCAATTTAATTTCTTAAAGATAAGATTTAACAAATATTTTAGTGCTAAAGTCTTAAACTAATTATTAAAACTACAACCACTTTTGCTCAATTCAGGATTTAATCCTACATCCTGTATTTCAGAATTGTGTCTTAAACAAGATACAAGACAGGCAACTAGCTACTAGAAAATCTGAACCTAAATTTTAAAAGTATCAGCTCATGATTCTTGACTGTTACAAGAAAGAGTGTTTTATAATAAAGTCACCTGGCCTTCAATTAGGACATTGTAGGTCAGATCATCCACTCCAGAAGACCTCTAGATTTCACAAATCTCAATCTTATTTTAGCATATGAATATAAATAGTAACATGAATTCTGAAGTGTCTATATGTCAAATAAATTTACCAGTTTCTTCTAAAACCTACAGACCAGAGTTCTAGTGGAGAGCCCTCTGATTTTTCTAGGGGATTTTTTTCTTTATGTGCAGTCAGACACTCACATGAAGACTTCTAGTCCTCTCCTGAGTAGCCATTTTGGTAGTGCTGCTGTTCTGTGGTGTTTTCCTAGAACTATTTAGCAAGGGAAAAAAATAAACCAACCAACCAAACACCCACAACTGACTACATATATCTAATTAAATATATTGTTTAATTAATGGAGTCACTTAAGCAGGTCACAGTTGCACTTTAATCTGGTTGTGAAACAGTTCTGAGAAGCAAAGCACCAGTGTGGGCTGTAAGCTGTGGAACAAGTAAAGCATAAACAGACAACACTGTTTACCAACCTTAGTGAAGGCAGCATTTTATTTAACAAAAAAAATCCTGTAAACACCAGTCAATCTTTCCATCACTACAGATAATTTTCAGAGTTACAAAATTTCTCTAGGCAAATTATTTTATGAAAAATATGAACTAGAAAGAAAATATAACCTCATATTATTTCAGAGGGAACACCATATAAAAACAATGGGCTACTGAATGAATCTTAAAGCGTGTGGAAAAATACATACGCAGTTCATTGTACAAGCTTCTGAGTTCTAGTTTTCAGGAAGTAAAGAAGTTTGAAATGGAATAAAATATCATCCAAGTCTTCTCCCTATTAATATTCTCTCTTCAAGATAAGGTCCAAGATTTTTGGCTTTTGAAACTAAGGAACACAGTGAAACTGGAGTTTATTGAGAACTTTATTCTAACAAGAAGTCTGACAAAAATCTTGATGGCAACTACTTCTTGTTACACAATTTCTTCAGCCTAGAAAATATTTTAATCTCTAGAGGAGTAACCAAGTACAAGCACAAGTTTCAATAAATTGCACCTAAGGAAAAATCTGTCTCTCCATTGTTCTCTGTTTAATCTGATTCAGAGCGACTTAGCTAAAATACGGGTTGGGGTGGGAAATCAGAAAGCTGAGACTGGACCACGAGACCCGGTTATGAATACTTGTTGTACCAGGCAGCTTTAGCAAAGGATCACTATGAGATTGCCCTGTAAATCCACCGCTTGGTCTTACTTGTTACCAGGTACACACTGGGTTCAAGCTTTAACCAACTTACAGTAGTGGTGAAAAATGAAAAAGATGACCAGCCTTTTTAAAAAAAATGCTGCTAAAGCAATATTGGAACTTTCTGAAGAATGAAAACACAGCTTTGCATACAAAATGACAAGATTAATTTGGCTAGTTCTCAAAGTTTTTGTAATCATGGTATATTTATAAAGTCAAAATCTATTACAGTATAAACCATAATAAAAAATTACCAATTTTCATAATTCTAAATCAAGGGTCACATGGTTCTTACGGTGTCAGGGCTTGCCACATTGCTTCAGTTTGTTGTTCTGCTACAGCTTCCCTGGAATAGTCAAGACTATTTCCGTTCCACATGCCAATGCCCCTTAAACCTCGATTCTTCACATACGCTGCTTTTAGAGAGATGCTGCGAGGGTCATCATACCATACTTGGTGGAAGTGACCAAGATCATCCTAGAAAAACATTTAAACACTAGTGTCAGTATTTACCTTGAATGCAGTGAAAAGTACAACTGAAAACTGAGATATACAAACTATGTAGATTTACATAATGATACTTTCCTGATGTACAAATTATTTTTCACACTGTACAATTAAAAATTTTAAGTCAAATACTCAGCTACTTTTTTTACTTTTAGAATCTAAGTTATAGCACAGTGACACATTTTAACTAAAGTTAGATGAAAAGACTTGGCTAATTTGTATTTTGGTAGTTTTTTAAAACACAGCTAAAATCTCAGATACACTATTTAACCTAACAGGTGAATGTAGTTAAAGATTAAATGCTTTTTTCAGCAATGAATGGTTTTAGAGGGGGTTATAAAATTTTGTCAGTTATGTTGCTTTGACCTGGACATTGCTTACAACACCTCTTAATCTTCTACATGTGAAACTTATGTCTAAAGAAACAAGATGAAATGCACACACTGTGTTGTTCATATAAGCACAATCATTCATCGACTCACTGTGTCTATGTAGAAATCAAATGCAGAACAAAACATGCATTCAAGCCACTGGGTTAGAAAAACTTAAGAGCATCTCAGAATCTGTTTTAGTTTAAATCAGTCATCAACTCATAAAAGTAACTGTAATGGTGAAGGATGAAGCTATAGGATTTTTTTGTGCCTAAACATCCTTTTTGACATGATACAATCTCTTGAGAAAACTGCAGAGCAATACAGATCTTTACTACTTCTGTAGTCTTCAGTGACTCTACCCCTCTTTCAGACTAGAAATTCCAAGACATGGAAATCCAGCCATCCTTTGATACACAAATAAAATGAAGTAGAAAACACAAATGCAAGACTCTTAACCCTGAAAACTTTATAATTGAAGAACTATGGTTCACAAACATTTATTCCACGACATGGTGAGACACTTACCTTGTATTCATAAAATGGAGACTTCTGTACCTCGTCCCACAGTACCCCTGAAAGAGAACTGTTCACCTGCTTCATGATTGCTCTGTAGGGAACCTGACTCCCTGCAGCATCACTGCAAGGAGCCCCACGGAAGGGTACTTTGAAAAGGGTACAAATATGATCCTGAAAAAAAACCCAGAAGGCATGAGTTTCCTGTTACCTAAATATATTGAAATCCAAAATAGCAGTACAGCCAAGAACAATGTCACAAAAGGCATCAGGCTCTCAAAAATCCCAAATGTTCAAGTATCTGTGGAAGACATACTATACGTAGACAGAAGGAAATTAAAACAGTTAAATTTGTTTACTCTGTAGTAATACAGGATTGGATGCACATCATTCAACTTATACAGTTGTCTTATTTTATTCCACTTTTAATTCACTTTTACATTTTTCATAAGCATAATGTTGTTTGAGACTCCATGATTTATCCATAAACTGCTATACTAAACAGTCACAGGTTTGCTGCAGTTTGTCTGGTCTTTCAGCAGTGAGCTTAGTGACTGTGTTGAGAAGGCAGATACAAGTGTTGTAGTGCCTTTGGACATCATCTTTTCTCATACAGATAACTAACAACTATAGTGCCTTAGTCAAACATGGCGCTTGGGTATCATGGGTTCAGGTTGCCTACGGAGAGATAAAATGCCTTGCTTGGTAACACGCTGCTCATCAGTTATCAGCCAAGCAGAAGTCTCTGTCTTGAGTTTCAGCCATATGCTCTTATCCATCAGACCACAGTATATCCTAATCCAAAAACAGTATGACCAAAATCTAGCTGTCTCCTTCCACAGAAAAAATTAACAGTACAATTGCAAATGGATAGTCTTCATCTTACCTTAGATAGGTTTTGGCAGACATAATCATAGCCATACCAGGGGACGCCCATCACAAGCTTCTTAGGATCAATGCCCATAGTAATGTACTCTTCATATCCTAGTTTTGAAGGAAATAAAAATTAAGATGCATTATGGCACTTTCCATTGCTTTTTATTCTTACAACTAATCTGTAGCCAGGGCCAATACAGGACATGCATGATCCCCAGACAGACAGAGGCTAAGGTGCAAGCTCTTCTTTACCTCCTGCCTGCAGACTCCAACTTGCTCTATTCAGACCCCAGTAACTGCTCTAGTTGCTCACACCCAAAAGCAGCTGCTGAAAGCAGCAGTCCACAAGGATGAGAGAAATGTTTGAGGTTCTTTGCAAGCCCAGGCAGACACCACTGCTTTGGCTGCCATTTGTCATTCTAAAAGTGTTCTTCACAATCATGAGGGCTAGACAATTACTTAGCAAGTAACAACACACAACTGCTAAAGGTCTATTTGTAGTGTCATAAGGATCTGAGATACTATTTTCACATTAGGACAACACATATTTGAGCACACTCAAAAGCCTTACTACAACCAAAAAACTTGTCTAAAAAAAGGCAATCTTTCCTATCCATGTGAACAAATGGGAATGTTCTGACTCCTGGGGAAGCGTTTTGTCCTCACCCACTAAAGTCTGCAGGTAAGGAGCATTGGCTTTAGCAATACAATCTGTCCAGATCTGGCTCTGTTCATCATATGACATCACAAATAAGAAGTCACAGGCATCTGCAATCCCAGTGTAGTTGTAGCACCTTTTATCTATGCATGCCGGAGACCAAGCCACATCAAATGTTACCTGAAGAAAAAAATTCACAAGTTAGTATCATGTATGGCAACTAATGGCTCTTGTTTTCTCTTTAAAAAAGCTGTAACTTTTAAAGACAGTATTTCCCAAATGTTGCTGTGTTTAACACACAGTGATAGTAATGAACTATAGAGAAAGCTGCTCAGCTGCTAAAACAAACATTAGATAATAAACAGTGAGTGTCCCTATTAGTGAATTCAAAACATCAAAGAAATTAAAATATAACATGAAAACCATCTGATCAAAAAATATGAAGCATGATGGAAATCCTTCAAACTTCAGTGGTGGGTTTACCAAAACATTGTTAAGCTTTTGCACCAGAAGGCTGTACTTGCCCTACTTTCAAAGGTGCATTAAGCCATACTAAAAACTGCCAGCCCGCACAAGGCAATAACATTGTATCTACAAACCTCAGTGAAAGGCTTCTGCCATTTAAATTCATACAGGTCAAAACCAGAGAGTATATCATAGTTAACATTCATAATTAACCATTCATGAGAACATCATGCTTTAGATTTGCATATTTTTTTTCATATTCATATGTTAAACAGCATTCTCAAAACTCCTTACATTTCATGAAGTTAAGCATAATGTTTGTAGAAAGTACATTATTATTACCTGTGATCCTGGTATTTCTCTGTGAAAAGCATCTGTAGTTTCTTTAACAAGCTCTGTTAGTGCATAATACTCAGGGGAGGTTTCGTTAACTTCTTGCTCTATATCTATGTTAATTCCATCCATATATTGTTTTTTTGCAAGGTCCACCTGTTGGGATATCCATGCTGCTCTTTTTGCAGGATCAACGATTTCCTTAAGAGGTACATCACCTAGACAAGAGGCCTTTAAGAGTTAATATGTATTTACATGACAGTAATAGTAAGGAGGAAAGGTTTGTCTTTACCAAACCAAAAAACATAACCACAAAATAAAAAATTCCCATACCCATACTGTTAAAATACAAAGGAGTTAACTTTTCTCCCCCAAGTATAATTTTGAGAACCCACCACAGAAGAGATTACCAAGCTTCTTTGAGACAGCAGTGCTTAAAATTAAGTTCCTTCTGGATTTTTTTCTATAATTTTAATCTCCTAACTTCTGTTTAAAATTCTTTTGGCCACTGTAAACTGCCTTTCTTGGAATCAATGTACTTTTCAGTATTTCCATGGATCAACAGGGACTATGTCTTACTGCTTAGATAAACATACTTTTATGTTTAACCTTTGTTGCTTTCCACATTGTGGTCTTGGATTCTTTTTTTTTGCCTCAACAGAATCAAAACTGGATTACATCACTTCAGCTGTCATGGACTTTGTCTTTCTAATCAGCATTTGTACCTGCACCGAGTTCCCAAGTATTCATGTTTTAAAACTCAACCACTTCCTAATACAGAGGGATTGATTTAAGTTAAAAGTCCTAAAATGTACTTGAAATCCCTTCCCTTACTCTGTCTTTTGGGTACTGTGGATAACATCCAGAATACACACCCAAATAACTATCTTTTGAAAGGTTTCCCTTTCCTCCCTGTTCCTCCATAGCTGTGGTGTTCTCTGTTAAGGAACTTTTATATTCAGATGTCACTGGAATGGTTTTATTATTACTGTGCCAGAAGGCACTGCTGGTTTTCATTTTAATATCCTGCAAACCAGCACATGCAAAAATGTCAAGGTATTACAGTCCTGTATGCATTATTCCCTTATTAATTAATCCTCTTACTGATTTTTAATACTCTGCGTACAAGTGAATGTGAAATGTCAAGGTATTACAGCTCTATGTACGTTATGTTCTTACTCATGTATCGCATAAATACGTACATCTCCGCAGGGTAACCAACCTTTCAGTACTACCCTGGAGCCTTTGGAGTGAGCATGGCACAGGAGCTCAGGATCGTACTCTCCAAAAGCTGCCACGGTTGTAATTTTTGACCAGTCGTAGGATTTCCAGGTTTCTTTTCCCACATCAAACACGAAGACCTGGAAAAGGGGTAAAAAGCACCCTCATTAGCTCCAGACACGTCCCAGCGGGACGGTTACTTCCCACATGCCTCTCCAAGGCTCGCTGACTCGTGCCCCGGGCGCCAGAACAGGGGGCTGGGGGCGGCGGCCCCGGCTGGGCCGGGTCGTGGGTTACGGCCGCCCTGGCACCTCCCTGGAAATCACATGAACCTGTTTTTTTTTTTAAACCCTGCTCGACTCCAACGCCGGCAGTCACAGCGGGGCCGCGGCGCAGGCTGCCTGTAACACGCCGCC